CCGCGCAGCCCGAAGCGGAACCGTCTCGCTGCATTACACAGCTCGGGATCATAAAATAATGAAGCAGATAAATTTTATAATGCATAGCATTACACCGGGGTAGACAATAAAACGTGAAAGACAAATAACCAAGCGCACACTATAATGAAGAGAAAGCCTCCAGTCTGAGACGTGCGGGTATGAATTATTGACTAAGGTTTTACACTCCCGAGGATGAGAGGAAGAATGTTTTCCATCACGGATTTGCATAATTCACTCGTATAAACCTGGGCAGAATACAGAGTGTGATTTCACATCAGCAAGGCTGCCTTTGCATTGCAGATGCCAGAGATCTCTTTTTGCCACAGCCACCCCAACATGCAGACGGGGTGGCTGGGGACACCCACGGTCACCACCAGGCTGGGCTGCAGCACCCGGTGCTGCTCCAGCAGTGAGTGCAGCACGGTCAGGGGTGGCTGATCCTCACTCTGAGGATGCTGTGCTGAACCCTGGCTGAGCTCTCCCCTGCTCCAAGAGCCAAGCCTTCGTGCCACCCTGGTACCATGTGATGGGCTGGCTGTGGTGGGCACCGTGCAGGAGAAAGGGGCTGAGGGAGTGAGGGCAGCCTGGGTAAGCAGAAAAAAATGCAATGCATAAACAAACAGCAGTGCTGAGTCCCGCGGTAATGTATGATAATGACAATCCGCAAAGGCAACACACACTGTTCTAATGGGACACAAGAGGCTCTAATGAGCTACGACTCCTCGGCTTTCCGTGGCAATGTAATTCAATTAACAGCGAAGGAAACCTTTCCCCCGGAGCTGCCAGTGTTTGTGGGGTGCAGGACAGCACAGTGCCCAGCCTGGTGCCCAGCAGCAATCCTGCCCTGAGGGGAGCACAGCCACCCGTGAGCTGGCACAGGGATGGCAAAGAGCAGAGATGTTGGGGCACTGCAGGCTGGGGAGCAGGAAACCAAGGGTTACAAGGAACAGCATAAGTCTTCTCCTAGCTCTGTCCTGCCCATCCCCAGCTGTGTGCCCATCCTGTCCTGGCCCAAACACCTCTGCCTGACTGCAGCCTGATGTCTCAGCACTGAGTTTTGGCACTATGGCAGACCTTGCCAGGTTCACAGAATCATAGAATCAACCAGACTGGAAGAGCCCTCAAAGATCATTGAGTCCAACCGTACCATGGTCACCAGAACATGGCACTAAGTGCCACATCCAGTCTCACCTTGAAAACCTCCAGGGATGGGGAATCCACCACCTCCCTGGGCAGCACATTCCAATGTCTGGTTACTCTTTCTGTAATAAATCTCTTCCTAATATCCATCCTAGCCCTCCCCTGGCAGAGCTTGAGTCTGTGCCCTCTTGTCCTGCTGCTGGTTGCCTGGGAGAAGAGACCAACCCCCACCTGACTCCAACCTCCTCTCAGGGAGTTGCAGAGGGTGATAAGGTTTCCCCTGAGCCTCCTCTTCTCCAGGCTGAACACCCCCAGCTCCCTCAGCCTCTCCTCACAGCACTTGTGCTCCAGTCCCTTCACCAGCCTCATTGCTTCTCTCTGTCCTGCTCCTGACATGGAAAAATGTTGAGAGCCACCCTGCCATGTGGCAGACAGAGGCACCAGGGGCTGTGCTCAGCCCTCACTTAGCCCAGGCTGGGGGACAGTGTGGTGCAGAAGGTGTGTGGGGCCAAAGGGGCAGGACAAGCCCACAGGGAGCTTTGGAGGCATCAGCCCCTTCCCAGCAAAACAGAGGCCCCAGGAGAGGAGCTCTGTTTCAGACTTTGCTTGACTGAAATGCACTTATTGATGTTTGATTAAAAGCAGCTCCTTGGATGTAAACATATCAACTTCTCTCAATTGCCATGGTCCCAGGAGAGCAACACACAGTCCAGAGCAGGAAAACTGTACCACAAACCCAAAGAAAACCCCAAGCAGCCATGAGGACAGCATGGATCAGGGCACAGGGACAGCACTGCTCATGTGCCAGGACCCAGCACCCGCCCTGGAGCAGCTCTGTCACTTGCAAAGGGACAGCATCACTTGGGACTGGCCCTGGAACCTCTCAGAGCAGCTGGGGCTGCTCCCAGCCTGTCCCTGACCTGCTCCCTCGTACAGGGACATCAATAAAGGTGGTTCCTGCCCACCAGAACACCAGCCACAGCCCTGGTCAGTGCTCTGAGCAGACAAGCTATCCTTGAGAACCTGCCCCCAATGCCTTCTGCACCCACCTGTCCTCCCAGCACCTCCCAGCCCTCCCAGCACCTCCCACCCCTCCTAGCCTTCCCAGCACCTCCCAGCCGCTTCCCCGTGCCCACGGGCCTTGTTAACAAGGCTCCGACCAGAGGCTGGTCCCGCTGGGTGGGCAGAGATAAGCCTGGGAACAAAGGCAGTGACATCCCGCGCCGGGCACGAGCGCCTGGCAGCGCTGGTGACAACTGAATGAGAACAGTGACAAGGGTGACAAGGGCTGTGCCTGCCTCCCGCGCCCCCCTCTTTCTTGTTTGGAGCCGGCTCTGTGATGTTAATTTGATTGCACCCGTCTCAGCTTCCTTTCTACACTGATTAGCTGAGTTTCACCTGAAGCATGAGATTAATTCAAATTGCATGGAAGCAATCAGTTATGCTTGTGCTGTACGAGCTCCAAACGGGGCTGTGCACGATGAGTGGGCAGCAGCTCCTCCCCTGGACCCCCAGCCAGACCCACCACCTGCCCCCCAGGCAGAGGAGCCCCCAGCCCAGCGAGCACAGCCCCAGGACCCCCAGGGATGTGACCCTCTCCATCCCACACGCTCTGCTCCTGGCGCCCAGGGAGGTGTGCAGCCAAGTGCTAAATGGCATTTACCACGCGCTGGTGGTGCCCTCACCTGCGCCCAGCCCTGCCCGCTGTCCCCTCGGGCACACTCTCCCATCCTCCAGCACTCCCCTCCTGCAGTACACCCACAGCTGGATGCTGCCGAGTTTCCTCCTGAAGCAGGGAAGGACAGACTGCCCTGGGGTGGGCATCCAGAAACCACAGCACCCACGGACAGGATAGCCCCAGCCCCAAGAGTGGCACTGCAGGCACCCCGAGGGTGACATCCCTGTGCCAGTACAAGGAAATCTGGTGGTTTTCCTCACCCATCCTTGACAAAAGCAGTGTCCAGCTCCTCCTGCCGCTGCCAAGTCCACGGGCACTCAGCCAGGAGAGCACACACGGTGTGATGTGTTACCTGGCTGTCTCAGCTCGCCCCCAGTGCCCACGCTGTGGCATCAGGGAAGGGGATGTGCCATTCTGGCTGGCTGCAGCTCCCCCTCTTCCCTGCTTTCCGCCAACACGCTTTGTTTGGGCTCTGATTAACTCTCATTTAACTCTGTCCGCAGTGGCCTGACTTTCAGGGAAAGCCGGCGCTGATCTCCCTTTAATTGGGCTGACATTTCACTAAACAAACAAAAACCCCAAAATGAAGCAAAACAAAGAGCCCATCTAATGCTTAATTGGCTGTGGCGCTTAGTCTACCTATTCATCCAAACCTTTTCAAAGGCGATGAGGTCTCCGGGAGATGCAAAAGCACACGCATAATAAGGTTATGTGCTATTCAAGTCAGCAAGCAACCTGTCCTGGGATGCAATTACGGCAGCTAGCAGGGACACAGCACCAGTTCAGGCTCCCACACTTCGGCGGCTCACTCGGGATTAATCGCCTCGACTTTGTACCTGAGCTTCATTGAAGTGCCTTGTTTGAAGTCGCTGGTTTTGATTCATCAGTCGGAGGGATAAATTAAACAGCTGACAGGGAGGGGAGCAGGGACCCGGGAAGGCAGAGGGTGGGTGGGGAGGGGAGAGGCCCCTGAGAGAAACAGCTGCTGATGCCAGGGAAGAAAGTGCTTGGATGGGGAGGGGAGCCAGGAAAGGGGACACTTTCTTCCTCTCTCATCCCAGAGACCCTCACCAGGACACAGCAGTGCCCAGGGAGGGCTGCACATCCCTCTGCCCACAGCATCCTGCCCAGGGGACTGCCAGGGTGGTGGTGGTGGCTCCCACAGCTCCACCTGCAGCCTCTGTCCCCCCTGGCATAGGGTCAGTGTGCTCACTGCCCTGTCCCCCCAGCACAGACAGGGCAGAGCTGAGCCCAGCCCTGACCACAGCCCCTCTTGGAGACACACAGGAGTGAGAGTGATGGAGCTGGACCTCCTCCACCACCTCCTTTTGGAGGTTTGAATGCTCACGGCAGCAACAAGCCCAATAAATAACACGGAGCTGGCAATTATACATTCTGCTGATAGCAACGGGAGAGCAATCCAATAACACACACAGTTCAAACACGGTGTCTAACAACACTTCCCGGCCCATCCCTGTCAAAGTGGCCCAGCTATTTCCTTTCCTCCTGTATGATGTAGATTGATTGCTTGGTTTTATTAAAGACAAAGTGTGTTTAATAGCAAAAGGGAAGCAGGTCCCTGGAGGGGAGGAATCAATGCCCTCCCACCCCCTGCACATCGATCGGGGCTGAGCGGTGCCGAGGCAGAGTCTGCCTGGTGCTGTGGGAATCCTGGACACAGAGAAAGGGGCTACAGCACACCAGGCTCTGCTGGTGACCCTCACCCCACAGCAACCCTCGCTGTGCCCATCTCTGCTCTCCCTGCTGGGGGCAGGTCCCTGTCCCCGCGACGATGCCGCCGCGGCGCAGCCCTGGGTACTTACTCTTGACAGTGAGGAACATGGACTTGCTGATGTCTGTGCCCACACCATTGCTGGCTTGGCAGAGGTAGTAGCCAATGTCCTCCTCCAGCACGTGGCGGATGAGCAGGGAACTGTTGGGCAGGATCTGGATGCGGCCGGTGAGGGGGATGGGATGGTACTGCTGGGGGTTGCCACTTCCTAGAGGGGACACAGACAGCTCAGCTGAGGCAGAGGAGCATTTGTGAGGCTTGGGGCGAGGGTGGCTGTGCCAAAGGGGCTCTCCCCAGCCTGCACTGAGCTCCTACACACGGCTGTGACCCATCCCTACCTTTGGCGTGTTTCCACATGACTTTCGGAGGGGGATACCCATCAACAGAGCAGTTCAGCACCCCAGCTTTGCCATAAATGCCATCTTGGTTGTTGGGTTGGACCACAAAACGAGGAGGCACTGAAAAGTTTGAGAGAAAATATGGTCCCTGTAATAAAATCTCCATCAAATCCCCACAACTCCCCCTGCCTTGGGGGTGCCCTGGCTTAACTCTGCTCCTCAACCTCCTGCCTGATTCTACACCCACAGAGCAGCCTCCCAAGTCCTCTCTGCTTCCCACTGTGCCACCCTCCCTCGCTGCCCACCCTTCCAAACCCACAGGGCTGGGGTGCACGTGTCTGGGTTGGCCCCACGGTGCTCACCCCTCACATGTGTTGGCCCCACGGTGCTCACCCCTCACGATGAGCTGCCGCTCGCGGCTGACGGTGGCAGCGTCGTTGCTGGCGATGCAGGTGTAGTTGCCGTTGTGCTTCAGGGAGACACTGGAGATCTGCAGGGAGCTCATGAACTCCTTGCTCTCGATGGTGACTCCGGAGCCGGAGAGGATGACGTGGCCATCCTTCCTCCAGGTGATGTGGATGGGCATGTCCCCAGAGGAGACCACGCAGGGGATGTAGAGGAGTTGCCCGATGGAGGCTGGTGGGAACTCGAAGGGCTGGATCAGTGGAGGGACTGTTGAGGGGAGAGGCAAATCACACTGGAGAGCCCATCCTGGGAGAGCCTTTCTCCAGCAGGGCTGGGTCACAGCAGGGCTCAGAGGAGATGCTGTCCCCCCCGTGCTGGGGAAGCCCCAGCCACCCCTAGCACGTGCCACCCGAAATTCCACCTCAGCATTTAACTGCTCCCAAAAAAGCCATTATTAGATGGATGCTTTTCTTAAAGGCACCGGATTCAGAACCAGCCATTATCTTTCTGATAACTTAATTAGGCAACCGCAGCATCTCTGGCAATGTGGGAGGGGGAAGAAAGCAGAGAGAGGGAGACAATTAGCTTAACAAGGCTCAGCACCTGGTAGATGAGATCCTCTTTCTGCAGTCTCCATAATTAAATTAGCAGGCTGCCAATTGTCCCTTCGGCAGAAGGGCACTGCCCTCTTGTACGGGCACAGGGGCTCCCTGTCCCCCCACTCACATCCCTGGGCTCTCTCTCCACCCCGTGCCCAGCCCTGGCTGAGGGCTCTGCACCACTACCTGGTCCCTGAGCAGCAGGTAAGCAAGCAGGGGCTGCCACTGTCCCCCAGGTGTGACCACTGC